AGTTATGCGTGCTGAAGACTAAGATTTCAAGAGGCCCATTATGCAACTCTAGCATCGGGACAATCTCTTTTCCACCCGCATGCAACAGAAGACCAAAACGCATGTTAAACGGTAAAGTAACAACCATTTATACTACAAATAATCTGACTGATTTTAGTTTAGCGCTAAAACACATGTTCGTACTGGTAAACCTGATGCGTTGCTACTTAAATTTATAATTCCAGCTACTCGTATATGCTTATACATTCAAATTTACACGCCAGTCATTTAGTTGTGCAATATGTGCAACAGCTTATTTCTTGTGACAGGTCACAAACCTTTTATGCGAAGCCAATAATAAGCATAAATTAGAAAAATAAAAAGTCAAACAAAAGATCCGATAGACAAGAAATACAGCTAACATAACAGGACATAGCTATTTTGCGTAAATCGGTTTAAGCAAGCCACTGCCCAATGTTCAACGATTTGATTTGTAGCATTAATCCATGTATTACTAGCCGCTGAAATTCGTTAAAAGTTACGCGCTGAGTGTCACTTTTGAATTTCGGAAGAAGGAAATTTCACCGGAGAAGCACAGTGTTAATAAAATATGCCAGCAGAGCAAGGGAGACAATTGCGGTAAATCAGGGAGGAAATTTGATTCACCATACAAGGAAATTAAAAAAAAAAATGTGGGGCGGGCGATACAGCAGTGATTGCATTTCTGCGTTGTTGACAGCGTTTGGAGATGAAAAGAGGGATCCGGAAGGACAACGGCCAAGCAGACGAGCTGGTGTCCGACGGTTGTTCGCCATTATCGGTAAACCACATCTTACGAGTGATATCAATCTGCCTGCACGGCGTTTGCTTTTCTTCCGATCACATCACTGTGATAATTCCACTATACACTTCATAAAACACAAACTTTTGCAACCGCAATTGCTGCTGCAATGCCTGAAAAAATAGCATTTTCTTGACATTCCGGCACCTAACATTTAAAGCTATCGTGCAGATGGTAACAAAGCAAAATCACTGTGCCGCTTGAAGGACTATGTAGAACTATGCGGATGCAAAAAACGCAAAACAAAGAAAAATTGAGAAGTTGTTTTCTGCATCAGTTTCGAGAAGAAACACTACGAAGGAAAATTTGATAGAACTTTAAGT